AGCGCCGCTGCACTCCCAGCGCCGCACTCAGCCGAGTGAGCCACGGGGTCAGCCCTATGCTCTTCTTTTCAAGATTGTTTTGGATATTTGGGGTCCCTTGAGATCACAAATGAATTTGAGGATTTTTTTTTTCTATTTCTGAAAAAAAATCACTGGGATTTTGATAGCAATTGCATTGAATCTATAAATTACTTTGGGTAATTTTGACATCTTAACAATATTAAGTCTTCTAAACCATGAAAACAGGATGTCTTTGTATTTATTTATCCCTTCTTTAATTTCTTTTAGCAACAGTTTGTAGTTTTCAGTGTATAAGCCTTTCACTTCTTGGATAAGTTTATTCCTATTGATGTTATTGTAAATGGCGTCGTTTTCCAAATCTCCTGTTGGGATTTTTCATTGTCCAAGTACAGAAATGCATTTGATTTTTTATGTTGATTTTGTATTCCATAATTTTGTTGAATATACTTATTAGCTCTAATGGTTTTTCCTTTTTGAATTATTAGGGTTTTCTACATATAACATCATGTTTTCTAGAAACAGATCATTGTACTTCCTCCTTTCTTTTTTATTTTATTTTATTTTATTTTTATTTTTATTTATGTTTTTTATTGAAACATAATTGGTTATACATATTTGTGGAGTACAGAGTTGGATATCAATACCTGTGTACAATGTGTGATGATCAAATCAGGATAATTAGCATATTCATCATTACAAAATGCAACTATTCTTTGTGACCATTAGCCAATTTCTTGCTAACCTCCCTCCCCCTCCCCGGTTCCCACCTGTAGTAGCTACAATCTGTTCTCTCCTTCTGAAAGTTCAATGTATTATGATGATGCTTGCTTGCTTGCTTGCTTATTTATTTATTTAATTTTTAGCTCCTACTTATGAGTGAAGACATGCAGTACTTCTCTTTCTGTGCCTGGCTTATTTCACTTAACATAATTCTCTCCAAGCTTACCCATGCTGCTGCAAATGGCAGAATTTCATTCTTTTGTATGGCTTAGTAGTATTCCTTTTTGTATATATACCACATTTTCCTTATCCAGTCATTCATCCATGGACATTTAGGTTGGTTCCATATCTTGACTGTTGTAAATACAGCTGTGATAAATATGGGAGTGAAGTTATCCCTTCGACATGATGATTTCCATTCCTTTGGGTATATACCCAGTAGTGGGATTGCTGGATCTTGTGGTAGTTCTATCTGTAGCTGTTTGAGCAACTTCCATACTGTTTTCCATAATGGCTGTACTAATTTACAGTTCCACCAATAGTGTATAAGGGTTCCCCTTTCTCTGCATCTTCACCAGCATTTGCTGTTTTCTTTCTTTTTGATAGTAGCCAGTCTAACTGTGGTAAGCTGATATCTCAATGTGGTTTTGATTTGCATTTCTCTTATGATTAGAGATGCTGAGCATTTTTTCATGTACCTGTTAGCTATTTGCATGTCTTCTTTTGAGAAATGTCTATTCAGCTCCTTTTCCATTTTTTAATCAGATTATTTGGATTTTTACTGTTAGGTTGTTTGAGTTTCTTATATATTCTGAATATTAATCCCATGTTGAATATACAGTTTGCAAATGTTTTCTCCCATTCTGTAGGTTGTCTTTTCATTTCAGGATGTAGGACTGGGTAAAGACTTTATGAATATGACCCCAAAAGCACAGGCAACAAAAGAAAAAATAATCAAATGGGATTATATCAAACTAAGAAGCTTCTAACAGCAAAAGAAATAATCAACAGAGTGTACTTCCTCCTTTCTAATTTGATACCCTTTATTTCTTTTTCTTGCACAGTTGCTCTGGCCAGAATTTTCAATATATGTTGAGTAGAAGTGGCAAGTGCATTCATTCTTGTCTTGTTCCTGACCTTAGGGGAAAACTTTGAGTCTTTTACCACTGAGTATGATGGTAGCTTTGTTTTTTTATGTATGGACCTTTACCATATTGAGAAAATTTCCTACTCTTCATAGTTCATTGAGTGTTTTGTCATGAAAGGGGGTTGAATTTCATCAAATTCTTTTTTTTTTCTGCATCAGTTGAGATGATATTGTGGCATTTTTCCTTCATTCTATTAATGTGTATTACATTAATTGGTTTTCATATATTGAATCATCCTTGCATTCCAGGAATAAATCTCATTTGGTTGTGGTGTATAATCCTTTCAATGTGCTGTCGAATTCTCTGTGCTAGTATTTTGTCGAGGATTTTTGCATCAATGTTCATAAGAGATAGATGTCTGTAGCTTTATTTTCTTGTAATGGTCTTTTTCTGGCTTTGGTATTGAGGCTGGCCTCATTGAATGAATTAGGAAGTATTCCCTCCTCTTCAATTTTTTGGAAGAGTTTAAAAAAGGATTGGTGGAATTCATCAGTGAAACTATCTGGTCCAAGACTTTTCTTCTCTGGGAAGTTTTTGATTACTGATTCAATCTCCTTACTAGTTTTAGTAATTGAAGGGGATAATAAGGCCAATCTTGTGTGCAAAATTTAGTGAGGAGTTTGGGTTTAATGTCAGGCTTGAGGGATAGGGTGGTAAGGTTGTTTAAGAGACATTGTAAGGGTGAATCACCCCGGAGGGAGGAGGCGGAAGCTCCCATTCTGAAGAGGATTAGAGAGAGAGAGAAGGTTTAAAAGGAGGATTGGAACGAGCCCTCTGGCTGGATGAGAATGACGGAACTCAGAGGGCATCCCCAATGAGTTGTGCCATTCCCAGGGGATGGGTTCAAGGATGAACCCAGGAAGGAAGGGGGTGTAAGTCGTCACCTAGACCCTCACTTCCCATAGGCAAAGATGCCTGGAGCCGGAGGGACCTAGTGCGCTAGGGTTTTGATGGACGGCGGAGGTCCAGGACCAGGTAGGAGGAAGGTTAAAAGGAGTGAGAGAAAGAGAGAGGAATGGGGGCTTAGCCTCTGGGGCCTGACAAAAGGAAAAGGGGGCTTACCTAACAGATGAGCCGGTGGTGGATGAAGGATGCCAGCGCTGGAGAAAATGGACAAGGGCAGACCGTCAGTCCCGGGGGTCACGGAGGAGTCCGAGGAGGTCTGAGGAAGGAGTCCCCTGGTACAGGGTGAACTCCTTCCCGGGTTTCGACACCAAATGAAGGGGTGCACGGACGAAGGAATCACGCGAGACCCAGGCTAACAGTTCGCCAGAGAAGTTCCGCTTTATTCAAGGACTGCGCGTACATTTATAGGGAGCTGATTTCCGGGTTTGGATAGGGGGTGGACGGGGCGGTAGCTGATTGGACGGGGCTGGGCAGGAGGTGAGCCTTGACCTGTGACTGGTTGAGGTTTGGCGCGGGTGGGCTTGGGTTTTGGCACCGGCGGGCTTGTTTACTGTGGAGAAGAACCCGGAAGGGCGCCATATTGCTAGGGAATGCTTTCCCCCTCCCCCTCCGCTTGAGTGCCCACGGTATCCTTACAGTAATAGTATTCATATTTTCTATTTCTTCATGATTCAGTCTCGGTAGGTTTTATGTTACTGGGATTTATCCATTTCATCTAGCTTATCCAATTTTTAAAATAACCAACAGCCTTATCTAATTGTTTATAGTAATCTCTTATAATCCTTTTTATTTCTATAATGTTATTTATTTTTTATTTAAGTAAATTTTGTAGTAATTGTCTCATCCTTATTTCTGATTCTAGTAATTTGAGTCTTCTCTCTTTTTTTATTAGTCAATCTTGCTGAAATTGTGTCGATTTTATTGTTTAAAAAACAAAAACTTTTAGTTCTGTTGATTTTCTCTATTGTTTTTCTGTTCTCTTTTACTTATCTCTGGTGTAATCTTTATTATTTCCTTCTTTCTGCTAGGTTTGGGTTTATTTTGCTCTTCTTTTTCTAGTTCCTTAAGGTGTAAATTTAGGTTGTTGGTTTGAGCTCTTTCTTCTTTTCTAATGTAAGCAATTATAGCTATACTACAGCACGTACAGCTTTCACTGCATCCCATGTCTTGGTATAGTATTTTTTCAGTTGAATTTCTCTCAAGTTATTCTCTGATTTCCCTTGTGATTTCTTCTTTGGCTTATTGTTTGTTTAAGAGTGTGTTGTTTAATTTCCACATGTTTGTGATTTTTCCATTTTCGGCTATTAACTTCTAGTCTCATTCCATTGTGCTCAGAAAATTTACTTAGTATGATTTCTATCTTATAAATTATTAAGACTTGTTTTGTGGCCTAATATATGGTCTATCCCGGAAAATGTTCCATGTGCACTTGAGAAGGATGTGTTCCTGTTGTTGAGTGGAGTGTTCTGTATATTTTTGTTATATACAATGTGTTTATAGTTTGTTCTTCTCCCATTTCTTTATTGATCTTCTGCCTAGTTGTACTATTTATTATTAAGCATGGAGTACTGACATCTTCCCCTCAATTTCTCCCCTCAATTTTGTTAATGCTTTCTGCTTAGTTGTGCTGTTTATTATTAAACATGGAGTATTGAAATCTTCAACTATTACCATCAAGCTGTCTATTTCTCCCTTCAATTCTGTCAGTGCTTGCTTCATATATTTTAGATCTCTGAAGTTTGGTGTGTATATGTTTATAACTGTTATATATTTGGTGAATTGACTCATCACTGTGCAATGTCCTTTTTTTGTCTCTTATTACAAATCTTGACTTAAAGTCTATTTTGTATGATGTTATTATAGCCACCCCTTCTCTCTTTTGGTTACTATGTGCCTGGGATATCTTTTCTTATCTTTTCTCTTTCAATCTATCCCTTCACTATTAGTCTATGTATGTCCTTACATCTCAAGTGAGTCTATTGTAGACAGCATATAGTTGGATCATGTTTTTTAATCCAGTCTCCCAATATATGACTTTTGACTGGGGAATTTAACCATTTAAATTTAAGGTGAGTACTGATAAGGAATAATTTATTTTATCATTTTGTTATTTATTTTCTGTATGTTTTTAGCTTTTTTCTCCTCACTTCCTCCATTACTACCTTTCTTTCTGCTTATCTTATTATTATTTATTTTTTTTTCTGGGCTCTGCTTGCCCTACTGGGAGCGCTGCTCCTCTCCGGGGCCACGGCGGCCGACAGAGAACCCGGCATCCACGACTTTTGCCGAGTTTCAAAGGTGGTGGGGAGATGCCAGGCCTCCATCCTTAGGTGGTGGTATAATGTTACTGATGGATCCTGCCAGCAGTTTGTGTATGGAGGCTGTGAAGGAAATGACAATAATTACCAGAGCAAGGAGGAGTGTCTTGAGAAATGTTCTGGTGTCACAGAGAATTCCATTGATGATCTGGCCACCAGCAGGAACGGAGCAGATACCTCTGCACCAAGTGTTCCCAGAAGGAAGGACTCTGATGACGTCTCCAGTGATATTTTCAACTATGAAGAATATTGCATTGCCAAGGCAGTCACCGGGCCTTGCCGTGCAGCCTTCCCACGCTGGTACTTTGATGCCGAGAAGAACTCCTGTGACTATTTCATCTATGGAGGGTGCCGGGGCAATAAAAACAGCTACCTCTCCAAGGAGGCATGCATGCAGCGCTGCTTTGGCAAGCAGATGTATCCAGTCTTGCCCCCTGGCACTAAAGTGGTGGTCCTGGCAGGGCTGTTCGTGATGGTCCTGATCCTCTTCCTGGGAGCCTCTGTGGTCTGCCTGATCCGGGTGGCACGAAGGAACCAGGAGCGGGCCCTTCGCACTGTTCTGAGCTCTGCAGATGACAAGGAGCAGCTGGTGAAGAACACATACGTCCTGTAAATGCCCTGTCACCAGGAGAACTGGGAAAGGGAGGGGAGAACGTGTGTGTGCTTTTTTAAAAGAATGATTGATTTGTATTTTATCATTAGGGCTTTGGTCTGTTTTGTTAACTCCAGAAGGTAAGAAGGCTGCTTTCTGGTCTCACCAGGGTGGGTTTGCTTTGGGAATTCTCTTGGGGAAGGGCTGTGTTTGACATCGCTAATGGTCTGGTAGCAGCCCAGAGTTGTTTCCTTGTTGATTTACTTTTTTCCTCTTGGTATAGTTTTCTTTGCTTATGTTGAATCCCATTGCCTCCTTTCCCATCAGAAAAATGATGTTATAATAAAAAATAAAAAAATTAAATAAAAAAACTTCTGCTTATCTTATTTTTTGTAGTGATGTGTTTGATTCACTTTTCATTTCCTTTTGTGTATATTCTTTAGACATATTTTGTGATTACCATGGGAATTGCATATAATATCCTAATGTTATAACAATCTAATTTAAATTGATACCAACTTAACTTCAATGGTATACAAAAACTCTACTCTTATACAGCTCCATGCCTCCCTCCACTTTGTGTTATTGATGTCACAATTTATATCTTTGTGTATTGTATACCCACTAACATAGATTTATAATTATTTTTATTCATTGTCTTTAAATTTTGTGTTTAAAAAGTGGAGTTCCAAACCAAATTTACAATAATACTGGCTTTTATATTTGCCTGTGTATTTACCCCAATGGAGATCTTTACATCTTCTTCCAGTTTCAAGTTACTGTCAATTATTCTTGAGACTTCCAGTTTCAAGTTACTGTCTATTATTCTTTCATTTCAATCTGAAGGACTCTCTTTAGCATTTCTTGCAAGGCAGCTCTAGTGGTAATAAACTCTCTCAGCTTTTGTTTATCTGGGAATGTCTTAATTTCTTTCTCATATTTTTGGAGGATAGTTTTGCTGGATATAGAATTCTTGGTTGATAGTTTTTTTCTTTCAGCTCTTTAAATATATCATCCCAATGCCTGTTGATCTCCAGGGTTTCTACTGAGAAAATGAATTATAATTTTGTTGATGTTCTCTGTACATGACAAGTTCCTTCTTTCTTGCTACTTTCTAGATTCGCTCTTTGTCTTTGGCTTTTAATGATTTGATTATAATGTGTTTCAGTGTAAGTATCTAAGTTTATCTTATTCTGAGTTCCTTGTGCTTCTTGGATTCTTAGATTTATGTTTTTCATCAAATTTGAGAATTTGTAGGCCATTATTTCACCAAATAATCTCTCTGTTCCTTTCTCTCTCTTTTTTCCCTCTTGGACTTTCATAATGCATACATTGGTCTGTTTGATAGTGTCCCACAAGTTCCTTAGGCTATATTCACTGTTCTTCATTATTTTATTTTTTTTCCTCCTTAGACTCAATACTTTCAACTGTCTTATCTTCAGGTTCACTGTTTGTTTGTTTGTTTGTTTGTTTGTTTGTTTTCTTCTGCTTGCTCAGATCTGCTGTTGTACTCCTCTACTGATTTTATTATTTGATTTATTTTTCAGCTCCAGAATTTGTTTTGTTCCTGTTTATAGTTTCTATCTCTTTGATGATATTCTTATTTTGTTTATGTATTGTTCTTGACTTCCTTTAGTTCTTCATCTGTGTTTTTCTTTAGTTTTTTTTTAAAATGTGTTTAAGACAGTTGTTTTAAACTCTTTGTCTACTAAGTCCAACGTCTGGGCTTCCTCAGGAACAGGGTCTATCAATTTATATTGTTCCTTTGAATGGACTGTGTTTTCTTTTTTTTTCTTTGTATGCTGTGAGATTTCTTTGTTAAAAATTGGGCATTTGGGAAAGAAACAGACACTTCTCCCAGTCTTTGCTGACTCTGTGCTGGGGCAGTCCTTCACAGATTAGCTGGGCTTGGTCTGAGCCTGTGGATCAGCTTCTCAGGTCTCTTCCAAACATGTGTCTAGTATGGACCTGAATGTGGCTTTCTCAATTCCCCCATACACACAGCTGCTTTGTTAAAAATTTTATTTTGTCAGTATACAATGTGGTTGATTATTTTGGTCCATTACCGAAACCTCCCTCCCCCCTCCCTTTCCCCACTCCCTCCCAACAACCTCATATCTGTTCGCTTATCGTGATAACTTCAAGGAATTACACAGCTGCTTTTGAATGTCTTAATTTCCCAAAGAGACTCACCCCAGCTACTCGTAGGGGCCTTAGACGGTCTATGGTCTGTCTCAGTCTGTAACCTTTGTCCCAGATGTCTGCTGCTCTGTAGTCCTTCTGCTTTCATGAGCAGTGCCCACCACTTTTCTCACCCGAGATCTAAGTTAGGCAAAGCAGAATAGTCCCGCAGACTGTGCCCAGATATGTTAGCATGTTGCAGATAAGGTCTGCTCTTCTCCCTCCAGTCTGAGGGAGGGAACGGAGAATTGGGTTACCATTTCCTCCAGACCATGACTGCTGCTGCAGTGGCGATGAGGTGGGGGGAAGGGAGAAAGAAAATAAAATTTTCTACCATTTTGAAGGAGACTCTTTTTGATTGGGCATTCATTTGGTTGCTCTAAACTTTTGACTGTTTTTCAGAGCTCCTATAAAGTTAGTTCAGCCAGTTCTCTCTCTCTCTCTCTCTCTCTCTCTCTCTCTCTCTGTGTGTGTGTTTGTGTGTGTGTGTGTGAGAGTTTCCATAGGGAAATGAGAGCATGAAGCTTCCTTGTCCTCCATTTTGCTGCCTCCTATAAAGTTAGTTCAGCCAGTTCTCTCTCTCTCTCTCTCTCTCTCTCTCTCTCTCTCTCTCTCTGTGTGTGTTTGTGTGTGTGTGTGTGAGAGTTTCCATAGGGAAATGAGAGCATGAAGCTTCTTTGTCCTCCATTTTGCTGACATCACCAGAATTTTTTTAAAAGCAGCTTTATTGAGATATGCTTCACATATCATGCAGTTTACCAGTTTTAAAGTGTATAACTCAGTGGTTTTCAGTATATTTACAGATATGTGCAACCATCACACAGTCGATTTTAGTATTTTCATCACCTCCAAAAGAAACCCCATCTCTTTAGCTATTATCCCCATGTCTCTCATTCCACCCCCACCCACCCCCCAGCTTAACAAACACTAGTCTGCTTTCTGACCCTATATATTTGCCTATTCTGGAAATTTCGTGTAAATGAAATCATACAATATGTAAACTTTTGTGACTGGCTTATTTCATTTAGCACAGTGTTTCCCTACCTCTCCTTGCCCTAGGGTGTGTAGAAGGCACAGGATACTGAGAGGAGAGTGTGGGCAGGGTGCTCAGTGCAGCAGGCAGACCAGTGGACTGGTCCAAAATTGGATTTGCACCCAATGGCTGCAATGTGAAGATAAAGGGTAAGGAATTGAAGATGTTGTCAAGTTAATAGAAAAACAAAGGCTCATAGGACCTAGGCAACAATGGGAACATAAGGTAAAAAAAGTGGTCCAGGGACCACTCAGGGTTCAGGATTAAGTGAGAGACCAGGTGCAGTGGGAGCGACAGGAGAATAGGAAGGAGAAGAGACTGTGGTCAGAGTGGCTGCACGAATTGAAGCTTTTGGGGATGGAGCAGTTTGGAATGATGGCAGTGTCCAAGAAAGTGGCCACGGGAAGGGAGGCTGGAGGGGAGGGAGGGAAAGGTGTAGGAAGAGCCGAATCCATAGAGACAGAAAGTAGATTAAGTTTTCCAGGGGCTGGGGGAGGGGGAATGGGGTGTAACTGCTAATGAGTACAAGACTTCTTTGGGATCGAGGAAATTGTTCTGTTATTAGATAGTGGTATATTCACAACCTCATGAATATACTAAACCTCACTGAACTGTACATGGTAAAAGGGTGAATTTTACGGTATGTGAATTATATCCCAATTAGGAATGAATGAAAAAGATTAAAGAGGAATTCACTACAGTTCAGAGATTCCAGAGGGCATCCATGGAAAGGTTTGGGGGGCAGGGAAGAAAAGAGTGAGAGCCTGGGTCTGGATAGAGAAAGGAGGTGAGGCCTGGGCAGTGGTGAAGGGTGTCAGACCCAGGAGGCCTGGAGGGATGAGAGAGGGGCTGAGAGATCCAGAACCCCTGGTCCAGCAGATCCTGATGGCTGCAGGGACCAAAGCATCTCAGGAAGCCAACAGGCTTGGCCTCACTGATGGTGTTTGGAGGTGGTCCCAGCCCAGGTGACTGAAGGAAGAGATTGGGGATTTGAGGGTGGGAACCGAGGAATCTAGCAACAACCAGCTGGAGATAGGGAGGGGAGCTGTGCCTCCCAGGGCTCATGCGTGGCTCCCAGATCTCGGACTTCAAGTATGAAGCAAAGTCTTGTGAATCCCCGAGAGAAAGGTCAGGTTTGAAAATACTGTGAACCACTGCATTCTGCCAGATCTGTCTGTATGAAAACAGACCAGAGAAGGTTAGATAAACAAGCAAAAGGGATCCAGGGCTAGGTGCCAAGTTAAGTGGCTAGTTTCCTACTGGTGTTTATAGAGACTTATAAGCTGTTAAGTGAAAATAAGGACTATCAGAAATACAAGTGGCAAGTGCACCAAGCATTCAAATAAGAATTTTATTTAGCAATTTATATACGCCATGTGTGGGGCTTGGAATGCTGGACACAGATACGGTACCTCCTCCCAGAAGCTGGGGTGAGCATGCAGGAGGTGGGGGAGACAATTTCTAAGCAAATAATTACAGAATAATTCATTACAAACATGTAAGTATAATAAGGAAAGAAATAAGTGCTTTGGTTGTGTCTACAGGAATCTAATCGAGTCTGGGGGTCAGAGCAAGTTTCTCCGAGGAAATGACGTTTCAACTTCCCACCAAAAGGGGTGGGAAGGGTGTGTGTGTGTATGAAGGTCCCAGGGCAAAGAGGAGCTCAGGGGCCAGCTGGACTTCACGTGTGAGAGGTGAGGGTGGAGAGACAGGCTAGAGAGGCAGGAAGAGCCAGATTTCACAGGGCATTGTGAGCCACGTAGAGGATTCTGGGCCTTATCCCAAGAACAAAGGAATAGAGAGGAAGTGAGTGGGAGGACAACAGAGTGGCAGCAGCGGGCAGCGGAGCAGAGTGGTTAAGAGCATGGACTCTGGAGTTAGACTGCCTGGGTTCAAATCCCAGGACTAACCTCTCTGTGCCTCAGTCTTTCCCCTCTGTAAAATGGGATGATAATAGTACCCTTCAGAGGGCTGGCATGAGGATATCAATGATAAAAGTGCCTGGCACATAAAGTAAGGGAGAATTGCTGTTGTGAGTGGGCTCAACAGGAGCAACCCTGCCCCCTGGACTCTCCCCCACCTCCAGGCAGCCTCTCACTGTCTGGGCTAAGAGCTGTTGGCACTCAGGAAAGTTCTGGCTTCTCTAGAGTCTCTTGGCCTTGGGTAACCGTTCTGGCAGCATTGTCCTCTGCCTCTGGCTGTCCTGTGAGCCACAAGAAGACAGGGACCATGCTCAACCTATACCCCAGGGCCCGGCATGTGGCCAGGTGCATGGGAGATGCTCAGTACCTATTGGTGGAATGAATCAAATGAATGAATGAGTACATGAATGGATCTGTGGAAGAACATAACACCTGCACTATCCATAAAGTACTGAGCATTCAGTATGTGCCAGGTGCCTTCCTGAACGCTTTACATAATTTATTTCATTTCATTCTCACAATGATCTCATGAAGAGGTTATTGTGAGACACTTCCCAGTAGGGGAGATCTTGGGAATAAGTTCTCTGTGGGAGAACCCTACTTGTACTTTAGGAACCCTAAAGATTGAGAAATGTGTTTAATTTGCACCCCAAAAGGAGGGCTTTATGCTAGAGGTAGGGATCCTGGTATTGTGAGACACTTCCCAGTAGGGGAGATCTTGGGAATAAGTTCTCTGTGGGAGAACCCTAGTTGTACTTTAGGAACCCTAAAGATTGAGAAATGTGTTTAATTTGCACCCCAAAAGGAGGGCTTTATGCTAGAGGTAGGGATCCTGCGAGCATGAATTGAAAAGGAGGCTAAGCCAAAAGTACTTTCTGTGAAGATCTAGCTGCGTGCACTTTATAAGTATGATCTCATCTTCTTTAGCAAGGCACTGGCTGACAGAGTCATTTTACTTGTTTTTGAAAGGGAGACACAGTGCATTCTAGGGGGGCACAGTGGCCTCCCCAGCAGCCCCAGCAGAGCTCAGAGCAGAAGCCAGGACTCCTGAATTCCAGCTGTGGAACAATCCCCCGAACCCCGCCCTGAGAGCAGATCCATCAGAAGGCTGTGGGAGGGCACCTTCCGTCCTCCCCCGGCCTGCTCTGGTTCTAATCAGCATCCCAAACATGCCTTGTTGCAGGACTGTTCCCCCAGGGAATGCAGGCACCTCTGCCAGCCTTCCTTCCTCCCAGAGCAGGGCTGGGACAGGCTGCCCCTTTCCCAGATGAGCCAAGCAGCTCCGCAGTTCTCCTTCTCCGGAGACTATTATTTTGGGAGAGTGCTGAGTTCAGCACAGCTATGAAATGCAGCAGGACGCACTCTTCTGTCCTCAGCTGGCCCTTCAGGGCTGATCACCTCGGCCCCCACCCTGTGCGGCAGCCCCTCCTACACAGGGTCACCATGTCCAACCACTTCTACCTTCAGACAGCCCGGAGCTGTGGAGACAGGTGGTGGAGGAACTGGGGGCAGGAGAGGCAGAGCTGGTCTGAGGGGCACAGACCAGCCAAACCCCAGCCCCAACCCCCAACCCTAAGCCTGGAGTCACCGCCTTCCCAGGGTTTGCCCTGAGGCCCAAGGAGCAGGCTGTCCCTCGGCCAAGTGACCACACATGGGCAAGTGCCAGGCCAGGATGAGGAGCTGCCCTGAGAGGCTTATATAAGCACTTCTACTTTGCAGCCCGCTGCCAGAGTGAGTGAGAGTTACAGCAAAGCCAGGCCCTGGCTGGGGCCCCTCCCCTGGCACACTGAGTCCAGCTTGGAGGAGGCCCAGGTGCTCCCAAGATAGTCGTGTCCGGGTGGTGGATTACCTGCTGGAGCTCAGACAGCTGCCTGCCCTTCTGTCTGCTTACCAGAGGTCTCTGTCCCACCAGGTGGGCCCCTGGGGTGGGGGCACTGGCAGTGGGAAGGGAGCCCCCTGTGAAGGGTCCAGCTGCTCTGAAGGCTCCTTCCATTCCAGGTGCCCATGGATTGGACGATGAGGCTGGCCACAGCAGCCCTGTTGCTGGGTCTCGTGGTGGTGGTCACTGGACACTGGACACTGGAAGAAAATGACCCATGTGTCTACGAAGCCCTGTCGGACCAAGACGCTATCCTGTGCAAGTAAGGCAGGGCTGGCTGGGTAGGAGGAGGGTAGATCTCAGGGAGGACTGTTTCCAGAACAAAGGAGTGCCATCTCCTAGGCCAGCTTTTGTGGTACAGGCAGAAAATATGTGAGGTCTGAAGACCACCTGGATGGAGGGTCAGGAGGGCTGTAGATATGGCCAGCTCCCCTCAGGCCCTCCAAACCTGAGGGCCCTTGTGGGGCTGGCCTCATCCCCACTGCTGGGCCCAAAGAGAGACCATCCCTCCCCCAGCACCACCAACAAAGTGGCATTTTAACAAAAAGTGGTAGTTGAAAGAATGTGGGAGATTGGACCCTCCCTGTGTGAGATCTTTTCCGCTAATGGTCCCAGGAGTGTTAGGACAGGGGCCCCTTTAGGCAGCACGGCCACTGGACAGAGTCCCGTGAAAAGGCTGGAGAGGCCACTCCTTCCTGTCCAAGGGAGCGAGCTCCTCCCACTCTGGGCCAATAGGAAGCCTGAGTTCAGCTCTCTCTTCACCGACTATGTTGGTTAGAAAAGCAAGTCCTCCTTTTCCTGGACTTGTGGGTCATCCTGAGGACCTCCCGGCCACTTGGCTGCCAGCCCCCTTTGCCAGTTTCTGAGAGAGATGAGAGAGGGGGACGCACTGTCGCGTCTTACTCCATCTTCTTCTGTACATCTGAATTTTCACAAACTACCCTCAGAACAGTGAATAAATGATTTCATGCCCAAAACTTACATGGTTGAATCCTGAAAAAAAGGAACAAATTGTGCTCATATCAGTACATGTTGAAAAGTCTTGTCAGGCAGTTCTGGGTGAACTTTTTGTGTGGGAGAAACAAGAGAAGCATGGCTGCCTCTCATGTGGGCTCCAAGTCCCCGGGTGCCTTGCCAAGCAGACCCAAGGGCAGGCAGGTTTCTTGCTCGGACATGTGCAGGGCCAAAGCCCCCACAAGCTGCAGAGGTCAGTGGGCCAGGACAAGGCAGGATTGGGCCGCAGCAATGACCCCGTGATGCAGCACCATGGCGCTTCCCCCATGAAACACATAGGAATGACACTATCTGTCTGGTCACTGGAGGCGACTGGCCTAGGGCCCCAGACACCCAGTGCTCTTGGCAGCCAGTGACCCTGCTGTGTGCCAGGTGCTCTGCCAGTGCTTAGACTCCTTGACTCATGTCACCATGAAGTATGTATTGTCATCCCCACTTTGCAAATGAAGAATCCACTGGGCTGAAAACACCTGCCCACGGTGCTGACCCAGCACAGAAGTGGCAGGGCCAGGATCCAGTCCCCTTGGCTGACTCCACCTGCTTCTGCTGCTGACCCTCACCCAGGTCCCGGAGCTTCTCAAACCCAAGTAAAGGGGACCATTCTTGGGACTCCTGGAATATACCACGCCAGGATCCAGTCCCCTTGGCTGACTCCACCTGCTTCTGCTGCTGACCCTCACCCAGGTCCTGAAGCTTCTCAAACCCAAGTAAAGGGGACTATTCTTGGGACTCCTGGAATATACCATCAGACCCCCAGTTTGAGAGGCGTGGACTTAGGACACTAAGGTTGTATACTAGGAAAATGTCTTCTGACTGTAAACCATCATGGCAGAAGAGGTCATCATTGAAAGGAAAACACATCATGGACTTAGTGGATCCCCATGGAGAGGGCAATTCCTCCCATGCTGGGCCCCCGCCCCAAGAACCCTGCTCAGCTCAGGCTTCTGACTTCACCAAGAAGCATCCCCCCACCCCAAAGAGAAGCCACTCCTCTCATGGGTATTTGGAGTCTAATAGGGAATTCTTGAAGGTACGACTCAACACCTAAAGGTATTCATCTATAAAGGAGGAATTTTATATAAAGTAACGAGCAGTGAGAAAACACTATTGAGAGAAAAGCTCTTCAGGAATAAGACCTTGCCCACTCCCAAGACACGCCAGGCTAGACCAGCAAAAACGGTGAGGGTCAGAATCCCGGGCTCAGTCTCAAAGTCAGAAGAACCATGGTTGTCCAACCCCACAGCAGTGGGGACTCCACTCAGCAGCCCTCTCCCCGCAGCCGCTGCACAGGCAGCCCCAGGGAGCTGTCCCAGGGAGGGGGC